GAGGAGTGTGATTGCAAATAATTCACCAAATGCGACAACTCAGTGCAACATCTAGCATCATCTTGCGACTTTAACGACTTTAAAGTCTGAAATATTAGTCACGCTTCACTTCAACGATTGAATTTACTAAGCTGACAATGAATAAATTTCACCAATAACTATTGTAATATAAAAGAAGGAACAGCACTGGATAGGTTACCGGTCTCTGGCTTTCGGAAAACGAAGATGTCGAAAATTTTTCCTCATCAAGAGCGACGCCTGTAAAACTGCTCTCTACTTCTTCCTGAATAATATCAACTGTTAAGTGGTCATCAGAATGTTCATATTGAAGCTATTGATCCCTTCCTTCCTTGAACGAGATCATTATTCCATGAAAGCAGCACTGAAAATGGTACTGGAGCCCTCGAATTCGACATCGTTCAACATGAATAATGGTCCACAAAAATATTCTTTCAGGAAAAAACTAATGAAAAGAACCAAAACCAACTGTTTCCGTAGTGTCTTCGTTGTCAGCAATAATGGCCATTTCTGTAAAACGAAAAAAATCTTTTCAAGCAAACTTACAAGCCATACAATGATTGCCGTGTTCATAATTGCACAGTGACTGATTTTCGTTAAGATAACCATAGTCAGTGAAGTGACATGCAGAATAAGAATGGGATAATAACGCATTAAAAACATCAACAACTAGCCGTAAAGTGCTTTTGAATTTCGTTCCAGTATTTCTGACGTTTGGAGATCTTTTGAAGATCTTCTACACTTATCGCTCGACATGGAATCATGCTCTTGCGATGGCGAATCGATCGAAGCTGAGCCTTTAACGTCGCTCACTAGCAGCACATTCAACTGATTGTTTACGAGTTTTCTTTTTAAAAAATGATCAGANTTTCTCCAGGACAATGCTTGAATTATTCGAACAGATTTGGAATGAAAGCGATCAGATTTTTAAATTCAGTTTTGCTATAAATCATTAAACAAACTTCTACTGCTTTGCATTGAAAGTCTTGAGTTGTCAGCACTTAACGATGCCTTTTTTCGTCCTTTGATTAGAATTTTTCGTCGAAGTTTATACGGAGATGGTAATGGAACCTCTGGTAGCAGCTAAAACTTTGTGAAGTTAATTCTTAAGCATCAACAACAACTGATCGCATCTCATAATGGGTAGCGAGCATTTTGTTGACGAATTTCACAATTGTAATTTGATTGAATTGCTTTCATAATGCGTAATCATTTCAATGAATATGAATGACACTGTATGATGAGATGATGCTCAACAAAACATACAGGTATATCCGGTAGTGGATCCTTCAAAAGGAGATCACCAAAAGATTCGATGAAAATTTCAGCCATTCTTGCTTGTTGAGCTGAAAAATTATTATGTACCTACGGTATGATCAAATTACAATCAGTCTACCATTTAGGTAACGATCACAGTATT